CAATCCCCAGGAACTGGGAGCCAGAACAAACCCTCCTTACCCCAAGCTGCTTTTGTTGGGGCATTTTATCACAGCAATAAGAAAGGAAACCAAAATGCTTTGGAAGAAATGAATTGTTTTTCTATCTAAACCTCTACTAACTCACTTTCATGTGAACATTATTTATATCTTCCTAATAAACAACTACTTTTGGACACCAGTAATGTACCAGAGGGTAGGCATGGGTCAGGCAATGGAAAAGTGTTAGAAGTGCATTGAAAAGTTCAGTATTCAAGCACAGAGCATCCCAGTTCAGATTGTTGAACAGACCTGTATTTCTGTGCTGCATTATAGTTTTGTTCATGGTGGGCTGCATCTACAACAAATATCAAACCATAAATCCAAGAAACTGTATAGAGATAAAAGTAAATATGAAGAGATGGCATGAGGGTTGAACAGAAAACACCCAAAGGCAGGTAATCTCTCTGTTGAAAAGCAAGATAAAAAGGAACAGTCTCCAAAGACCACACAGATCACATCCAGGATCTCTTTCTGTCTGATTCAGTCTCTCCTGCGTTCCCAGCTCAACAACCAGAAAAGCGCTGGCTTCTCTCTGTGCTCTGATTTATCAGACTCAGCCAAGAGGGAAATGAATGAAATGCTGAAACAGTGAACAGATAACATCACTCTAACTTTAAACTTTATGTGTCATTTTGCCAAACAAAAGAGCTGAGTGGTGAAGATAATAATTCGCAAATAATAATAATTTGGTATCATACAGTCACATTTTAAAAAGTACTAGCTTGCATGATGATTATAGTCACAACTGCAAACTATTGCAAAAATGCTCTACTAGTCACAGTGAAATGTTAAGTATTTTATAGTTTCTGTTCCTTGGTGTTTTTTGGAGGCTTTTTTTCCCCTATTGGAATTGCTTTATGTTGTGAAAAGAACAAGAACAAGATTGACCTTGTCCCTTGTTCCATTTCCCACACAGAAGGGCCCAGAGATGACCACTGCACATGCCATATGGCCTGGCAGTATAGACCAGGCTACCCCAAAGGAGGCTCAGAAGTCTTCCAGAGAAGCATTTACTGGGTGTGACCTTAATTAACTAATTACTTGGAGTGGGGTGAGGTGGAAGGGAAACCTGGGAATCTAACCTTGATACATAAAACCTGAGTATTTGAACTGTTTCACAGCTATCAAAAAATGAAGTTTACATAAGTACCCTGTACAAATACAAATTTTACATTGTGAAATAGTTTATAAACTGATATCTGAAGGCAATTCATGTGTCATGGTTTTTCAGACTGGCTAAACAGTGCCTTTATCACCGTGTGCCTCCCCAAGGCAGCATGTGCACTGTTCCCACCAAATGACACAGATTTCAAAAATAAGTATGATTAATTAGGAAGTGAAATGACTGATGTAAAAGTTCCGGCGGTGAGCTTTCTATGTGGTCGTTTGCACGTAGTGGATATTATAAAGTCCTTTAAAGGTCATTTAAAGACGTCTATCGACCCTCTCTCTGAGTTAAGCATTTAAAGTTAATCTTAAGCAGAGTGGCACTGATGGAGTTAATTTGCAGCCAGGGGTGAGGGTGGTGGGGGAGGGGGCATGGAATTAGGACTACTAACATAGGTGACAGCAGCAACTGTGAACCAGAACATGTATTTAAAAATTGAATAAATTACTGTGACAGTGAGAGGAACAGCTTAGGTCCCCATGCACCCCCCTGTCAGTTTGTGCTTTTTTTTTTATTAAACATTAACTTGAGAGTCTCACCATTTGATAGAATGTTCCATGAGGCTCTGGAAACCTCCAGGAGAAAGTGTGATACCAGGAGGAAAGCCAAATGAAACCACACTTCTCAGAGACCCTAAGTCTACTTTCCTCTGTGTGTGTGTGTGTGTGTGTGTGTGTGTGTGTGTGTGTGTGTGTGTGTGTGTGGTGGGGTAGGTGTCCTGTACCTCTCAATGTGAAAGCTCAGCCTGAATCTATATTGAGGACACAGGAGCTTCTGAACCAGATATCTAGGATTCAGCTCCATTCTTGGAGTCATGAAGGGGGAAGGGAGGCCGCTAGTGCAGTTGCCCCCTGCTGCTGGGACCTCAGGATGGGAGCTCAGCTGCTGGGCCTGGCTGTTGACACTGCTCTGCTCTCATATAGCCAGTATCTAGGACCTCAGACCCCAGACACTCCTGAAAGGTACCACCTTCACTATCCACTGACAGCTTCTGGAACAAGTTGTCCTGCACCAGTTCACTAAGGAAGCCTAAGGCTTGAACTAGGGCCCCTTAAATTCAGTTAAATGGCCATAAATACTTTAAGAAACAACCTGTTTAAGTTCATTCTATGAAAAAGCCTCCAGAATCTACCCAAAGATGGTTCAAAATCTACTTTTCATGGATGGACATTTGCAAAGTGAAATTTTCATGTCAGTGATCTCACAAGGTCATCCCTCCTTGCCATGTATCCAACAGATATAGAGAGACATTATGGCGGCCTGAGCCTACCCCTCAAAACCCTAACACCTCCTCCCTCCTCTGTTCAATAGAGCAGTGTCTCCTCTTTCCCCTGCAACACTAAGCAGGGTGACAGACCTGTACTCCTAAAAGTCTGTCTCCACAATGGGAGCCTTCAGTGAAAATCTTCTTTTGGCAGTGCTGGGGATGGAATCTATGGATTCAGACATGCTAGGCAAGTACTCTACCACTGAACTACATCTCCAGACATTCCTTAACATCTTTTTGTTTTGGAAAAACTATGTGGCATAGTATTGCCCCCATGATCCTCTGGCAAGGAGCCCTTGCTCTTCTATCGTGGCCACTCAGGGTGGATGGTTGGGCTCCCTGCTCCTGTCACGGGTGGCACTAACCACTCAGACCAGAATTGTTTGTGTGTGTGTGTGTGTGTGTGAGAGAGAGAGAGAGAGAGAGAGACAGAGACAGAGACAGAGACAGAGACAGAGAGAGGCAGAGACTGAGAGACACAAAGACAGACAGACAGGCAGATGACTGACAGACATGTGAGCACCTTCCCAATCAGTCAAAGCCCAGAGGAGGGCCTCAGATATCTTACTCTGCTCTGCCTTATTCCCTTGAAATAGGGTTCCCTACTGGGCAAGATACCTTGTTTGGCTAGGCTGGCTGGCTGGCCTATCTCACCTGGGAATGGCGAGGCGTACCAGGATAAGCAGCCACATTTAGCTTTTTACATGAGTGGTGGGCATGCTATCTTAGGTCCTCATGCTTGTACAGCAAGCACTCTTAACCAGTGAGCCATCTTCCTAGACCTTCCATCAGTTTTTGTTTGATGGGAACTAAAAAACATACCTCGAGATATCTGCATTATAAAACAGTCACTTTGAGAATCAAGCTACTGGTCAGTCACCTGTGAAATCTCTTCCTTGGAGGTTTATGAAGCCTCCTACCTGACTCTACTTCCTAATTTTTATAGAGGAAACATTTCTCTTCCCTTCTCTTCCTTTCCCTTCTCTTCCTTTCCCTTCCCTTCCTTCCTTGCTTCCTTCCTTTCCTCCTTCTTTCCCTTCCTTCCTTCCTTTTTCTTTTCCCCCCTCCTTTTCATCTCTTGGTTTTCTTTTGTCTTTGAGACAAGGCTTGCAGTGCAGCCCTTGTTGGCCCTAGACTCACTACTGTAGTTCAGGCTGGCCTCCTGCCTCTGTCTCCTGAGTGCTGGGATCATACAGGCAAGCACCATATACCAGCTGAGAATGCTTTTTCTCAGTTCTTGATGCTTCTTTCCAAGTAGACTGACTCCCTGCTAGAGCGATACCGAGTCTCCCTTTCTCACTCCTTCACTGGAGAAAGGAGTGATCTACTTCTCTGATTAAATGGCTTAAGATGCCTGTGGTCTTTCCTGTCTCTTTTTGGAAGCAAGGTGCACAAAACTGTATAATTGTGCTCTGTTTCCAATCCTAGGAATAGGCAGATTCTGCCACCTGGAGGGGAGGAAGGACACAGGGCCTGGCAGAACAAGATTCAGGAACACAGCAGATGTAAACATCCCAATGGACATTGTGCCAAGGGCTATCCATTGTCCTAGTGAGTCACCAGTTGGATCTAAGGTCTTTGAAAGTCAGTCCAGAAAAGAATCTTGTTTAGTTTCACAGACCATGTGCACCAACAACCATCAATATCCTCACAGCTAAGCACAAAGAAAAATTTCCCCAGGATCATTACAAAGGCCAGGTTTGGGGAATACATTACCCAATAATAAACCACACCCCTTTGCTACTTGCTACTGTTGCTATATACCCTTACAAAAGAAACTTAGGGGAGAAAGGGCTTCTTTTTGACTCTTAGTTCCAGGACACAGCCCATCATGGCGAAGTCAAAGTGCAAGAGGTTGCTTCATTTGGTCATAATGCATCCACAGTCAGGAAGCAGAGGGAGAGCAACGCCTGTACTTGGCTAGCTTTCTCCTTTGTATGAAACCTACAGCCCAAGCCTAGGGAATAGTGCCACCATAACTGCCATAAGCCACCAAATCAACTGAAGTTCAGAGAACTGATTGTTAACATAGCTAAGAAGAGCAACAGCTTATAGCTCACACACATCTGTTCCCAAAAGTGTTATTTAATCTAACTGTGAAGTGTAGACTCTTATGTGACCAAAATGACCAGATCCTTCCCTGTCTTCAGGGAGACATCAGTATTATAATACCACACAGTAAGGAGTTAGAGATACGTGCCCTAACAAGCACTTAGAATGCAGTGTCTCAGATTTTGCTAATCCAATAGAAATTTGCTAAGGCTCACTAACCTACACAATGCAGCCAGCTGTGGGTAATAGAAGCAGCTACCTGTCAGTGGCACTCTGGTTAACTGCCAGAGCCCTTATTCCTATATGAGAGTCGGGTTAGACAGTGGGCCCGGATGATGCTGGACAGCAAGTCAAAGGTGTGAGGCTGCAGCTGAAAAAGGCTAGCAAGACAGGAACCCTGTATGCACGAAGTATGCCAAGTTCAGCAGAGGCGGCGATGAGCATGGTCCTTACGTGCTTTTCCTTCTCAGATCTTGAAAGGAGATCGGTAACAAGAGGAGGACCAGCCGCAGGAACAACAGGAGAAGTAACTGCAGCAGGAGCGGTAGCTGCTTCAGGAGCAGCAGTGTCACTTGCAGAAGCAGCAGAGACAAAGGCAGCACCAATGTATTTCTTGGGCATCTTCTTTTTTAGCTTAGGTGACATGCTGAGGGAAGCAGAAGGTGGCCTAACAAAATGTTGAGTGTCACTTATTGGTGTCACACTCTTGGACTGACGACTTGAAGGCCGTGAGTAGAAAGTAGAGTCTCTTCCCTTGGTTGTTTTCTGCTCGAAAACAGTCAAGAATTATTTTTATTTCTTCCCTAAGATTTGTGTCCCTCCCCACACTTGCCCTCCCTGGAGCAGGAGTCCCAGCGGGAGCAGTTTCACTCTCTGAGGATGTGCATCTGCTCTTGTTCCTAATTCCACAGCCCACCCTTGCCTGCCTTAATCAGCAGCTGAGCTGAATGTCCCTCTAACTCATGAAAACAGGTAGACATTCCTCGACAGCACCTATAAAGACACAGTCCTTGTGAAGCTGGTGAGGTGGCAGTCTGAGCCTTGTGTCAAGTTGGGAAAAGGGAAAGGAAGCAGAAATGGGGAAGAAAGAAGTAATTTGTGTCCTTGGCTTTGCAGCAGCCTCTCTGAGAGATGGCTTGCCAGTTCCACTGTTCAGTTTCGTCCTCGCCTTCCTACTTTCCTCATTTTCCATCTCCCACATGCCCATCTTGTTTCACTTTCAAAGGAGTCTTTCTGGCTGCGTGTGTGTGTGTGTGTGCATGTGTGTGCGCGCGCGCGTGCATGCCTGCGTGTGTGTGTGCATGCATGCTTGCGTGTGTGTGTATGTGTGCATGTGCGTGCGTGCATGCATGTGTGTGTATGTGTGTGTGCGCATGCGTGCGCGCGCGCGCGTGTGTGTGTGTGTGTGAATGCTGGTATCCTCAGAGTTCAGAAGATGCTGCATCCTCTGAAACTAGAGTTTGAGGTGGTTGTGTGTTAGGAACCAGGCTCTTCCATAATAGTATTGCCTACTCTTGATATCAAGCACTTTCTTTTTTTTAAATTTACTTTTTAATTTAAAAATTTCTATTAATTTTACATACCAACCACAATTCCCACTCCCCACCCTCCTCCTGTCCCTCTCTCCCATCTTCACCTCCCCTATGCACTCCTCAGAAAGGGCAAGGTCTCCACAGGGAGTCAACAAAGCCTGGCACATCAAGTTGAGGTAGGACCGAGCCCCTCCTACATCAAGGCTGAGCAAAGCATCACACCATAGGGAATGGGCTCCAAAAGGCCAGCGCATGAACCAGGGATAGATTATGGTGCCACTGCCAGGGACCCCACAAACAGACCAAGCCACACAACTGTCACCCACATGTAGAGGGTCTAGTTCAGTTCCATGAAGGTTCCTGGGCTACTAGTACAGAGTCTGTGAGCTCCCATGACCTCAGGTCAGCTGTTTCTGTGGGTTTCCCCATCATGTAGTCAAGAGTCATGATCCTGACCTCCCTTGTTCATACAATCCCTTCTCTCTCTCTTTCTCTCTCTGACTAGACTCCTAGAACTCGGCCCAGCAATAACTTTCTTTTAAACTCATATATGAGAAAGCAATGCCACACATAGATTCTTGAATGAAGAGAGATAGCACAGCAGTAGAGATAGATAGATAATGATAGAGTCCATACAACCTTCATAGCTATACTGGCATACTTTCTTCTTAACTCCATGTCTTCTTTCTGTTTATTGATCTGTAAAAACCAAGGGCCATATAATCTGTTATCATTTGCAAAGATTAAAAAGGAGACACCAATACAAAACATCTGAAACAGTTTATATGCTAAATGTTAACTAGGAAACAAACTTGTACCTAGAAAAAAAGGCCCTTAAAATAAAAAACAAAAATACATATAAGTGTGACTATTTCAATTGTTAGCATCTGCTTACTGCTTTTATGTATAATAGATTACATAGATTCTTGTGCTGTTTGCTTATGAAGTGATATTGTGATGTTATTATAATATTTATAATTAAAAACACACAAGATAATTTAACAGCTAAATCTCAACAACATAAAGAACAAAATTTTACTTTAAAAGTCAATACTGATTTCCAGGCATAAAAACAATTCTATCAAAACATTCTATTAATGCATGCTTCAACAACACTAAGATTTGTTTAATATGAATTTGTAAGTAATGCCAATGATTATAATTATGACCAAAATTATTTGATAGGAAATACATGAGACCATACCTATATCAAACCTTATTAGTGGGTGTGAAGCTAAACCCAATATTATAGTTAAGCCCTATTGAAACAGTTTAAAACATGTTTTCTCCATAATCTTCAGCATAGCTATTGTCAAATTCAGTTCAGTTTGCACAGGAATTCCAAAGTTCCTTAGCATTAAAATATAGCATTCATTCTGTTACATACAATGCACTCACTTCAAAGTGGACTGCATTTGGAAAAATTCAACAGTCATTCATGATCAAAAAAACTCTCAGGAAACTAGTAATAAAAGAAAGCTCCTAAATTTGACAAATGCTTGCCACAAGAAAAAGGACAAAGTGTATACTTATTGATAAACTAACAACCTATTCTTCCACAAATCTAGGAACAAAGGCATCATTGCTATTTAATGTCCTACTGAGAGTCTTAGCTATTGCAACAAGACACTAAAAAGAAATAAAAAGCAAAATGACAAGTATCTTTAAATTTTATTAACATACCAAAATCCAAAGGAATCTATAAAACTATGACTGTAACTAATAAATCAATCCATCAAGATTTCAAAATACAACACTGAAATAAAAGTCAATTGTGTTTTATTTTATTCGTTGTTTTTTTTTTTTTGAGATAGGGTTTCTCTGTGTAGCTCTGGCTGTCCTAGAACTTGCTCTTGTAGACCAGGCTGGCCTCAAACTCACAGAGATCCACCTGCCTCTGCCTCCCCAGTGCTAGTATGCATCACCGAAGTCTGGACAATTGTGGTTTTTCATTTTAATACTAAGAATTAAAAATTAAAAATCTAAAAAAATCCCATCTACAACAGTTTCAAAACCACAAAATAATTTAAAATAAATTTAACACAATATCTAATATCTCAATACTGAAAATTATATATTTTGGTGAGAATAATAGACCTAAGTACATAACTATATATTCCCATTTATGGATTATATGATTTAATGTAGGATATATTAAAACACGATTTCTAAAAACCTGTGTGAACTCAGAGCATCTATGGTTTTCAGATGATTTTTGAAGGGGAATAAAGAAAAATCTGAAGAATTACAAAGCTCTAGTACCTAAGAAAGCATAACACTTGCGTAGGATTTGGCATATCATAATTTTATGAAGGAACAAGGAAATTCAAAACACTCATTTGATTCCCTTAAGGGCTCCACCATGATAAATACAAAGGAAGAAACTTTTTTTTTCTACAGATGATATTGTAAAAAGTGGATAACCACGTTGGGCGATGGTGGCGTACACCTTTAATCCCAGCACTCTAGAGGCAGAGGCAGGCAGATCTCTGTGAGTTTGAGACCAGCCTGGTCTACACGAGCTAGTTCCAGGTCAGCCTCCAAAGCCATGGAGAAATCCTGCCTCAAAAAACTAAATAAATAAATAATAAATAAATGAATAAATGGATAACCACTTAGAAAAAAATAAGAAATTTCACCCTTGTCTTACATAATACAGAACAACTTGTTTAATGTGAATAATATTCAACAAAAAGATAAAAATTATCAGTGCTTAGAAAACTTGCGTATTATCTCCCTGACTTCAGGGTATATAAAGGATTTTAAATGTGCCAAAACAGAACAGAAATCCATACAATGGGCTTTTAAAAGTTCAGTCATCTGGGGTTTGGAGAAATGACTCAGTAGCTTAGAGCATTCATGACTCTTTCAGAGGACCTGGGTTCAACTCCCAGCACCCACATGGCAACTCACAACTCTCTGTAACTACAGCTCAAGGGGACATGACACCTTTACACAGGCAAAACACTAATGCAGATTTTAAAAGAAGTTTAGTCATCAAATACATTATTGGTTCCCAGTACCCATATTAGTAGCTCAACACTGCCTGTAACTGCAGCTACAGAAAATTCCAGCACCCTCTTCTGGCCTTCTTTGGGCACCTGCATGTGTGTACTCTCCCACACACATTATTAAAATTTTTATTTTATTTTTTCGAGAAAGGGTTTCTCTGTGGCTTTGGAGGCTGTTCTTGAACAGGCTGGCTTCGAACTCAGAGATCCACCTGCCTCTGCCTCCCGAGTGCTGGGATTAAAGGCGTGTGCCATCAACGCCCGGCTAAAATTTTTAAATAAATCTTTTTTAAATGAACAGAAGTACAACTGTATAGACGATTTCTAGAACTATATATTAGAAAAGGTTGCCATTTAGGAAACAGTTTATAGCTTGTGTTGTAATTATATGCTTGGCTTTTATCAACTACCAGATTGTGTCTAAAGGTTGCCAGCATTTCCTCACCAATGGTTAACTCAGTGCTTTAAAATGGACAGTTATTTTGAAATAATTGGAGACCCATATGCAACTGTAATAAATAGATGTGAGATATTCTGATATGTTTTACCTGATTTCCTCAACGGAAACATTTTGCAAAGTATAGTAGCATGATATCCCTACCAGAAATTTGACATGAACACAGTGGAGGTAGGCATCACTGTCCCTTTCCTTACCTGCAGATACGGCAAAGCCAAATGCTTTTTATAGCCACACCAACCTACCCAATTGAGCCTCTCCCCTTCATCTTTAACCCTGGCAAATACTGTTGTAGTTTGTACCCAATTTCTAAATTGTATCTTTCAAAATGTTATAAAAATGGAATAGTGCAAAGGATATGTGCACCTTACCCTAGTGGCCCTGCCTTTCCACCTAGCAGGATTCTCTTGAGGTTAATCCAAGTTTATTTCCGTTATTTGTGAAACTGTACTGTCTATAAGAGAACTCATAGTTCAATCATTTAGCTGTTGAAGGATGTATGGGATGCTTCCAACTCTTATCTCCTATGAGTAAAGTAAATGAATATTTTTGTGCATGAATACAAGTGTTCATTTTGCTCTGTGGGAAATTCATGGGTTTGATTGCTGGATGGTATAATTACACTTAATTTTTAAGAAATAGCCAAACTTTCCCTTAGGTTATCGAGTTTTCCTTCAGTCTTGCCAAGTTAGCTACAGTTATTACTATTTTTCCTTTCTCTTTAATGACAATTTAATAGGACTGTAGTTTAGCATGGCTTTCCCTCCTACATAATAAAATTGGGCATTTTTTCCTTCAAGGGAATATCTGTTTATGTCTTTTGACTATTTTCTAATTGGATTTACTAAGAAGTCTTTATGTATTCTAGAGAGTACACCTTGGGTAGATATATGGTTTGAGAATATTTTCTCTTTCCAATGTCTAAGAGCCTGGATAGCTCAGTTGGCAGAGTTTGTCTTTTCATGTGCTTCACATGTTCATTCATGGAGCAAAAGCTTCTAATTGCATTAACGTGAACTAGAAGATTTGTGCTCCTGGAAAGTTGTATTTTGATGTAATTCCAATGCCAATGTGATATTAGGGATGGAGACTTTGAAAGGACACACATACACAACACACACACACTACAAATATAAAAATACATATAACTATTAATATATTATGTATATGAAGAGGATTTATTACCAGCTGTGATCCAGCTAGTCCAACAATGGCTGTCTATCAATGGAAGATTCAAGATACAGTAACTGTTCAGTCCAACAGACTGGATGTCTTAGCTGGTCTTCTGAATATGCCAGAATCCTGAAGAAGTAGGCTCTAATGCCAATGAAAAAATGCACTTGCTGGTAAGAGCCAGAGCAACCAGGCAAAGAGAGCAAGCTTCCTTCTTCCATGTTCTTTCTAGAGGATGCCAGCAGAATGTGTGTCCCAAATAAAGATGGATCTTCCCACCATCAGATTAAAAATGGATCTCCCAACCTCCAGTGATTTAATTGAGAAAAAAAACCATCAGGTGTACCCAGACACTTGGGTTTTAGTTAATTCCATATGTAGTTAAATAGACAACCAAGACTAGTCATCACAATTGTTTTGTAAAAGTTGAACTATCTTGAACACTACAAATAAACCTTATTTACTTGCAACTCATAATTCTTTTTATATGCGACAAATTTCCATTTACTAATATTTGTCACTGTCTCTTTTTAGATTTGCTATCATAGGTAAACTAGTCTCATAAATTCATTGGGAAGTGATGTTTTCTTTCCCTGGATACATTGAGAGAAGCTACAAATGTTTCATAGAAATTTCTGGAGAAAACATCTAATCCTGGAGTTTTCTTCTGACAGGCATTGCTTCAGGTTTTATGGGTTATGGCTTGTTTTGTTGCTGATGTTGGTTTTCTTTTATTTTGTTTTTTGCAACAATGTTTCACTGTGTAACTCTGGCCTGGATAGTGAGTCTAGAACCTTTGTGTAAACCAGAATGGACTCAAGTTCATAGAAAACTGCCTACCATGACCTCCCAAATTGCTTCAGTTCTTAACATTGAGATATCTATGAACATAGAATTGTTTGTTGTTATTTTCCTGATGGTGTTTCAAAAAGAAACTTAGTTCTTTAAGAATTTACTACAATCTATTTTTTTTCATATTCACCCTACCCCCTTTTCTACTCACTCAACTTTTTGCCCCACCTATCAAGTCCAACTTGTGCTGCCCATATTTTCTTAGA